GGGGGGGGGGGGGGGGGGGGGGGGGGGGGGGGGGGGGCATCGGAGACAATGACCCAGATCCGACCTACCCTCGCGCATCAAGGGGCCTCCAAGGGGCCTCCAAGGGGCCTCCATGGGGCCTCCGGTTTGGTGTTGCCCCGGGGCCTCTGGAAACCTCTGGGCGGGTCCGTCTGCATCAAGGCCCTCTATAAACAAGATCTGGACAGGTCATCACGCAGGCGCCGTATTGGTTCACTTCTCCCCATTCCCTCTCTCTTCCGAAATTGCTATTTCAAATTAATTTGCACGGAATACTAAGTATTCGCGTTTCCCATGTACTAAGCTTCTACCTGCACCTTCTTGCTGCAGCTGGACATGCAATAGAGTGGGAGAGCAAGCTTGGCTAGATCTGCAAATGACACGAAAGAGTGACGATTTAATTTACGCTTGTTCGTTATGAATCACTAAGATTGGTAGAGCAGTGATATTCCAACTGCAGGAAGACTCACCATGATTTATGAACATTTCATAAGGGGTACAGAAACGCAAGACGTTATGTTGTATTCAGGGCCGGCCCTAGCTATTTCGGCGCCCTATGCAAAGAGACTCCCAAGTACCAAGACTCTCGGAGTCTCGGGGGAGACTCTCGGAGTTTGCGGGGAATCTGAACATCCTGTACCATCTCGTTGACTTGTTGGTACATACAACTGCAGACAGCAGAAAAAATCGCAGCGCATGCAGAGAGAGATTTGAATTCATATTTAAAACGTGTGGGCACCCACACTCGGTCATGAACCAATATGGCTGGTATGGTATCACGTGACGGCGATCGGCCGATGGGAAGTCACAGTTGGCGGCATCCCCGCACACAAAAGCTGTCCAGACCTTGTTTATCTAGGGCCTTGGTATGCACCGACCCATGGGGTCGTTTCACGATGACAGGAAGCTAATCGCATCGGTGTCGAGAAGGTCCCATGTTATGTGGCACCTGTAGATATGCAGGAAACTGGGGGATAGCCTACCTATAAGAAAAAAATTCAGTGTGGCAAGTGATAGAAAAAAGTGTGTCCTGGATCTCCTGGGCGACACGGAATAATGTCTCTTGACACCTTCGAGTGTGTCATTTGGCACATCTTACTGCATCTGTAGACGCATTTAAATGCGCCCAGCCTCGCGACACGTTTTATCAGGACCAATCCGAAGAAATTCTCTCATGACACATCTTATCGTCTCGTTTCTCTCTGTGCAGGCGGCAGATGACGCGGATCCTTTCCGAAGAATCTCGATGAACGAGAGGGGAAGGTATCTTCATGGAATGCTTCAACGCCATTCATATTTCTTATCATTTCCACTCGTATCCCAGTTCCATGAATTTAGAGTTTTTATTATTATTATATACATAAGCACTTGCTTATAAGGAAAAAAGCCGGTATCTTACATGCATGTAAGAGGTAACTGCTGGTAACGCTGCATGCAACAGTGCCAATATTTGGGATATGAGACATACTAACCGCAGGGTAACCAGTGGCAAGGGGGGGAAGAGAGAATTGAAACCTTATTTCATATTTGTATGTCTTTTTGCTGACGAAAGGAATCAATTCGCCTTGCACCACTGCTCTCTACCTCCATAATTATAATCGAATAGCTGAAAGAATAACTGCAATATAAAAAATAAAAAAAATAGTTTCGGAAGATTCCGAAGGCGAGTGACCAATGTATAAGATATATACACCTGCTTTTCATTTTTCGGACCCTTTTTTGCATATAGACCAGTTTTCATTTCAACCCTTCAATCATACTGAAGACGAGAGGAAGGAGGAAGAATGAAAGTGCGGAGCAAAGAAGTTGAGGGAGTTTGAATTTGATGCGAGTTTGAATTTAACTACTTGCTTTCGAAAGCACATGAGGCGATGAGTGCCTCCCCTCAGGGTAGAAGTCGGGATATTTTTAAAAACAAAAATTTTAACCCAGCACCACCTCCGCCCAGCACACCCCCAGGCCAAACAAGAACTAGATCTCACGAGTGGCCGAGGGAGCGTGGCGGCACCCTCTCCAAGTACTCTTCCGCTCCACTCAATTTTCAGTCAGTACGGAACTGAGCTTGGCAATACGGATGACGTAAACCATTCTCCAAGTGGGACAGCTCTTAGTCATGGAGTATATTGGGTCCAAGTTTGCGCCACCACGGAGCTTCCCCCCATTAAATTCTCTTTCAACGTGCTATGTGAGCGAACAGAGAATTTCCGGCTAGCTAAGTAAGCAGAGGGCGTTCCACTTGGTAGAATACAAGATAGAATCTAATTTGGGTCGGAATAACAGCCTCCTCTTGTGGAGCCATAGGAGCACGTAGAAACATGAACGCATTGAGTTCCGCGGACATGACCTGAACCCCGCAGGACAATTCAGGAGGATGCACTCCTCTATGGGCTCCTCGCAGTCAGCGACGCCATGCCAACAGTCGGCTATCTCTGACGGTCTGGATCCAGCAGATCTGCGAAAGGCCTTCGTGTAATGTTATGCCCTATTTGTTATAAATAATAATGTAATCTTGCTTGTCTAGGCATGCTGAAGAACTTTAAAAAGTATTTGTCTCAAGTTTAGTGAGGGGTTCTATCTAAGTTGGTGCTAAGGTTCGAACGTCAAGAAAAGGCTTCTATTTCCAGGAAAGGAGCCGTAACCGCTGGCGTTCCATTAGCTAGACGTAGGCCTATCCCATCACTGCTTGAATCACGCCTTCTTCTGTCGATACTATATATTTTCTCGAATTATTAATCTTCCACTTCTCACGTGGATCAGATTTTAAGGATGGCCATAGACAATGGACCTGGATAAGCATCATTTTTAGATTATTTTGAAAATGTCAGTTAGTCTGGACTTTAATGATCCTGCTGTGTCAGTTGCAGCACACGATTGGCTCATTCAGAAATGGGTTCAAGATTCAAGGTCTGGGTAGGGACATCCCGTGTCACTGTTGAGGTAAAGTGGTTAAGTACTGAGTTTTTTGTGGAACCAAGTGGTTCCACTAACAATACAGGGTCTTTAGTATCTAAGATTGGACCAGTAGCTAAAGGGTGTCATATGTTCAATATCTTAGAGTAGAGTAGAGTAGTTTTGATGTTATAGAGAGTGTTTTTACTTCACAACAATGAAATTAGTGGTAGGGGTGGATTCCATTTAAAGTTTAAGGCCCAAGAGCATAAACCTTATTTAGTTGAGATAAAGGTACCTTTAAGATAAAGAGCTCCTTTTTCACCATAGGATTTTATGTATCCTTTAAGGATTGTTAACTAAAGGAGGTGTCAGCATTTGGGCCTTAGTTTTTATTTATTTATGTGCATGTAATGATCCAACTGCCTTGAAGTTTTCCTTAGTCAAGTATAAATACAAAGAGGCTTTAGGACCCATTAAAAATCAAGACTAGAATATCTTATATTATTCATCAATGGAAAATTCTTTTGGGATATCTTTGGAGTACAGAAAATGAATACCCTGGAGACTTGGCTGGTGACATCTTTAGACTTTTATTACTGGAAAGAGTGCATTCAGTGTTGTGGCACTTAATGTAGTGATCAATAGAAGGTTTAGTTTAGTATTCAAGTTGTTCAGCACTATTATATGGGAAGGGCCTCATGAGAATATGACCCCAAGCAGGAAAACAGGTGCTGTCCATGATATTTCTACCTTGTGGTTTGAAAAGAGAGATAACTGTTGCTGTCCTAGCATGATCAGCTTGTGCAATAAGAATTCAAAGACTTATCCATTGGTGCTATGTTAACTTAATTTTCATGATTATAGGCTATCTGACCTGAAAAACAGCCTTCTTTGATATTGCTATTTTCTCTTGCAGATTCTTAAAAGGTCTTTGGGAGCAGTTATAATAGTAGATACACTCAAGGTATTTGGATTTTCACTGTGATTACATCTGTGTTGTCAAGATACGGTCTGTGAAGTGTTGTGGTGAGTGTCCCGTAGGCCCATGCCAACCATTTGTATGTCAGAGTGCTTATATGCAATAAGTTAACTTCTTTGGGATGTATTTGCTTAGAATATTTTAAATTATTCAGGTTTATTGATGAGGCCCTACCTATTATGAAACTCAAATGTAAAACTTTCATATGTTACCCTTAGTAGACTTAGAAATTTGACCTCAAGTCCATAATATACCACATTTACTAGGTATGGTGCCATTACATAAAAATCAAATCCTATCTTAATAAAAACTTCATGCAGACATAATTTTTTTGCTGAGAATTTTCATTTGTGGTTCGATTTTGAAAGCTTTAATCCCTGATCACTATCTTACTTGGCCAAAAATAATATCAATGTATCATATGTAAAAATGAAAGCCAGAAAATGAAGTCCATGGCTTTCTTCTACATTTCAAATTCTTCAATGCAAACTTGAATTGTTGATACATGTGGGCCTTGATATGAAGCAGTGTCGGGTGCAAGTTTTGCAGAAGACCTACCAGTTTAGTATAATATTCTAAACTAAAGAATAGTGTAAGCTAAAATTAATCAGTGACTTTTCTCTACTGGATTTATTTTGTTTCCACTGTTATTAGTGGTGGTTGCCCACAATTCCATTAATTCACTAGAGATTAAGTATTAAGACATTGAGAACAGTACATGGAATGGTTTCCCTCTTCATGGTTACAATGATGACAGACCCACCAGACTGTGATGTTTGTTTTTGACCCAATACCATGTGGGACAAAAATGAAATTTGTATTAGACTGTAAATTTCATGGTTGGAAAATTAGACCATAGCTCACCCTGTTTACCTGTTTTATTTTTTCCTTGGAGAGATTACAGATAATCGTGGGGGTAGTGTTTAACAGCACATTACACATTTTCTTGTGTGGCAGCCAAATGAGAACCATGTGAGAATAAAGCTCTTAATTGTTAGAGCAAACTTGGTAAATTTTAAGTATCTTTCTTTTATTGGCTACATTGAAAAGGACTTTAATTTAATATTGGGAGTTAAGTCTCTATACATGTTCACCAATAGGTTAACTGAAAATTAGTTTAATTATCAGACTACTTGTGGAAAGATATTTGTATTTCCAACAAGATTCCTAGGGTGAAACTCTGTAATTATTACAAGTGTCCTTGGTGCTAAAAATAAAAAAACAAGATTTACAAATATGAACACATGAAGTCATCCTGTAACATCCTTGTGTCCCCATCCCTTGTAGAGTGGTGAATGAGTGAAGAGTGAATACTGCCATCATTATGGGTCGAAGATCTCGTTCACCTGGGAGATACGACAGTGACAGCGATAGGGATAGTCCCAGGAGTCGCCGAAGGAGTCGTGATCGTTCTCCTTTGAGCCCTCCAAGAGCCCGATATCCCTCTCCCTACAGGGACGACTTCCCCCCACCTCCTCGCAAGGGTTACAAAGTCCTCTGTATTAGTGGCATCCATCCGAAAGTGAGTGATGAGGGCGTCCGAGATGCTCTCTACAGGGAATTCAAGAAGTTTGGTGACATCAGCATCAAGATCGTGCTGGAACCTGATGAGAGGGTGGCATATGTGTATTTCCGAAGCTCTGAGGATGCTCGGGAGGCAAAACACAGCAAACCTAGGATTTTGTTCTATGACAAGCCTGTCTACATTGAAGCCGTCTATGATAGTGCTGGGAGTGATCGGTACAGCAGCCGTCGCCGAAGCCCCAGTCCTGGTTATTTGCACGATCGGTACAGTCGGGGCCGATCACCCCTTCCCCTACCTCCTAGGTATCGTGATGATGATCGATATGCACCTCCTCCCCTTGACCCTTACCGTGATCGCTTACCTCCTCCTCTTGATTTTGCCCCTCCTCCTCTCCCTTCCAGAGGACTTCCTCTGCCTCGTCACTATGGTCTTCCCAGTCATGAGTATCGACAGCCACAGCGTCAGAGAGAGAGCAAAAGAGATAAATTCCCTAATTATCTTCATCATATCCCACCTGAGGATGATCCCCTTGCCACAAGAACCCTTTTTGCTGGCAATCTTGAGGTCCACATCACCGAAGATGAGATCAGGCGCATCTTTGGTCGATATGGAACAGTTGAAGATGTGGACATTAAGAGACCACCACCTGGGACAGGGAATGCTTATGCATTTGTTAGATTTTCAAACCTGGACATGGCTCATAAGGCAAAGCTCAACTTGTCTGGTCAATACATTGGAAAATTCATGTGTAAAGTAGGCTATGGGAAGCCAAATCCAACTGTGAGAGTGTGGGTTGGTGGGCTGGGTCCTTGGGCTTCAACCTCATTGCTTGAGAAGGAATTTGATCGTTTTGGGGTGATCAAACAGATTGATTATGTGAAAGGAGATGAGCAAGCTTTCATCACATATGATTCAATTGATGCAGCCAAGGAAGCAGTCAAAGAGATGCGGGGCTTCCCTCTTGGTGGACCTGATAAGAGGATCCGGATAGATTATGCTGAAGTTGAGGGTAGTGAGCCACAGAACACTGCCAAGGCACCATATGCCACTGGCAGTAGTAGTTCTACTGTAGCACCACCACCTCCTGGTGATGATGCCTACTATGAAGGTGGAGCATATGGATATGGAGCAGATTATGATTACAACTATCGCAAGGGGGGGCGGAGTGGTGGTGGCGGTGGTGGTGGTGGTGGCGGCGGTGGTGGTGGCGGTGGCGGTGGTGGTAGTAGCAGTGGTGGCAAGTATCGCTATGATGAAGCATATGCTAGAAAGAGAGGTCGCAGTCGCAGTGGAAGCCGTACGCCAAGTCCTGTTGATCGTGGGGAGAGAATGGAAGACCTGAAAAATGTGGTTGATATCCAAAGGATAAATAGCCCATTGTGGCAAGGGGGCATCATCCTTAAGAACTCATTGTTCTCTACCAAACTCCACCTGATTGGTGGAGATCGGGATGTAATTGAAGGTCTTCTGAGAGATGAAGAGGGTAAACCGATCTTAAAGGTGACTCAGCGCTTGCGTCTGGATCCTCCAAAGCTGGAAGACGTCCAGAGACGTCTCAGCATGTGCCCTACCCATGCTGTGTTTGCTGGGCTCCCAACAGCAACACCTGCTGTAACTAGTGACGATGCTACAATCCAGCCGCGTCCTTTGAAGAATTTAGTTGCATATCTAAAGCAGAAGGAAGCAGCTGGTGTGATCTCGCTGCAGAGCAGTGACGGAGGCGTGGGTGTCCTCTATGCTTTTCCCCCTTGCACCTTTTCCTTCCAACTCCTGAAAAGAACAGCTCCAAGCCTGAAAGAGGATCTTCATAAGGATGATCACTTGGTCATTGTTATTGTTCGAGGCAGTGCAGGGTGAAAGCAAGGCATTCACTTGACATTTGACATCACTCTTTTGTATTGTTGTAAAGTTAGCCTTTTATTTCTCTGCCTTAGATATGGATAAATAACTTTCCATCTCTTGTCAGTTGATGAGGTAGGATAAGTCTTGATTGAGAATGAGTGCAGCATCTAATGAGATTGGCTGCAAAAATGAGTTTCTAGGTCTATTGGTATTGCTCTTGCAAAATTGTGCATAGTCAGACTAATGCATGCTTGGCGAGTTTAAAGCCCAACTTCTACTCTGGATTAGGTACCCTGTACAGCATCGACCTCCATCTTGAACATGAACATACTGTTTCATTTGTTCATATTATGTGTCATCTTGGGCATAATTGATGTCTTTGATTTTCCCAAATAGTAAACAAACATAATTAATTGGTGACCATTTCTTCTTGTTGTTGTGATTGGGTGAGTTGTTATTTTTGTTGTCCTGTCGGTTTTTAATTCTGCTGCTTTTGAAGAGCTATTGCAAGGAAGTGTATTAGTATGGACGTGGTGAGCACAGCTCTAGACACCCATCATTATTGTGTTCATGTCCTGATTTTCCAGTTTCCACATTGGTTCTTGCTCATTGTCTCTGTTTCTGGTGCCATTGTGCTTGGATTCAGGTGAGGTGTCAGTGCGTGCAGGTGCTGCAATTGTATTGTTTTCGCCCATTTACTCCAATAATATGTGTTAAAGAGTGTAGGAGGGGTTTCTTTCTTCTGGTGCAGAAGTAGAAAGTTTCCTCGAAACAGTAAAGCTTCATGCAACAGCAAACTCATTGTGAGAGCTTGCCAAGTGCAGTGAGAGCTAGGAATTACTTAAAGCTAGCTCTGTCTTTTATTTTGGTGCGCGAGATTGAAAGTGGTATTTTGAAGAGGTGCAACACTCACTTCTTCTGGTGCTATCTATTTTTTCCAAGTGCAAGCACAGTGCGTGTCCTGTTGAGAGAAAAAGTGGCATGACAGTGATCTCGCTGGTGCTCTGTGCCTGTAGCATAGGATTTGTTCGTTCCTTACCTTTCCTTGTCCACTTTTCTTCTTTTGACCTCCCTTCTGCATGCTGCTGCTTCCTTTTCCTAGTTCTTTGCATCTAACATTTTTAACCTATGATGTCATCTTGGTACAGGGGGGTGAATAGAAAATTGGCATATCCCAACCAGCTGTCCTTAAAGAGATATGCTAGCCCAATTCTTCCTGTTTTCCTTTAAGTGGGCAAAAGTGATAGTATATGCATATAAAACTATTTTTTTTTTGTAATACTTTAAAGACAAGCTTCACAGAAATAGAACAGTTGCACTTCTCATTGATGGAAAGTGGAATATATAGAAATTTTGCATGTCATCACCTTGAAAGTGTTCTTAACTCCTTAACTGCTGAGTTATATACAGGCAGTTTGAGACCTTCTACTGAGTTTTGTTTGCCAGCAGTATGAAGTACCATGAAACTCTCTAAAGTTCACAGAATAATTAATTTCAAGTCTGAGATTGTTCACATCTATGTAATGATGTGAGCCCACTCCCACTTGTTAACAGTGAGGGCATTTCTTTGGCTGATGCAGTAAAGCATCAAAAGCAGTTGAAGGGCTAATTGGGATATGCCCTTCTATTCATCAATTTATTTGGCATTGGGGTAAAAAAAAAATGGATTCCTGTAGCAACTAGCCACTTGTAACTTATTTTTATTGCAGCTCTTTCATAGTTGAAAAAAAAAATAGATGGAGAGTGTTTTAGTGAGAATTAGTTTTTTGTTCCAGTTAGTTCCTACATTGAAATTGGATAAGAAAAGTATGGCCATTATCCTGAGTAATTATAAAGGGGTGTATAGGGAGAAATTAATGTAGCTTTTTTTTTTTTTAATAGTCAGTCAAGTTGAAGAAAGCATTTTGGCATTGGAATATTTTAATGAATTACATCAAATCTCAGAACTGTCTGCCATTTAAAAAAATTCTTCAAATTTCCCAAAAATGAAAAAATTGCATAACATTTTTCTCTTTTTCTGAACCTTTGTTTGCATTGTCATTTTAAGCCATCTTTTAATAATTATAGTTAACAGGACAGGATTTTCTTTCTCACTGGAGTTATTTTAGGAAATAAGAAAGTGCTGTAAGTGAATTCCTCAAAAAATAAAATTCAATAGGCATGAGAGATAATGGCAGATCTTCTGAGAATTTGATGTATCTTTTGTCCAACTATTCAAATATTAAATGCTGGTTCAGCAGTTCAAAAAATCACTAAGATTGAAATAACGCTTTGTATGATGCATGCTTATGAATGCCCCTTTATTGAGCTCAAGGCCTACATGTCACTTTGTGACCCCTTGAGTGAACTCAAAGAAATCCTCTTGGCCAGTGGTCTTATCATTTAATGTGGTATCCTCTGCCACTGGAGTCTTGCTTTACTTATATTAACTTCATGACACTGCATGGTGATGGATGCATGTGCTCTTTCAGGCTATTCTTTGAAGCTTCTTGTGCGAGACAGAAGAGATGAAGGCTATCCAAGGGAGGGATACGTGATGTTGTGCCACAGTGATGTGCCGTGAGCAGTGATAACCTTCCAGTCCCCAATTATCATCTTATAATTAGATGGGGGGGGAGAGGAAAGTGTTGCTAAGAAGGGGACAGAATGGAATCAAAGCAAACAATCAAAATAAGTGCTGAAGAAGATGAAAAATTTGTCCAAATTGTGTCAGGTTAGTTAGGGAGGGGAAGTACAGTACATCCAATCATGGATAGTGCTCTACAGTGATAGGCCTACTAGTAATCTTCATAAAAATCAGTGTGTTCTTTGTGTGTTGGTGCTAACTCATTCCTGAATCGGAGGTGCCACACTGTGTAAGAAAGAGAAGCGAGATTCCTCTGTTCCTTTTCTCTGCAAAAAGTGAATTGGAAATTTGAGCAACTTCGTGGATGAAAAGGGGTAGTTACTGAGGAATCATGGGTGTCAAGTGTGCGTGAGTGAGCAGCAACCATGTTGGTAGGCAACAGTGTACCAGAATCATGAGATTGTGCAATGAGGTACAGGTCAGGTTGCAAATCGTGTTGAAGCATTACTGTGAGGAGAGTGCCTCAAAAGGTGGTTCTGAAAATCTCGCCATGTTTGTTGCAGTGCAGTTGGTGATAAATCTTTAAATTGAGTTGGCTTGTGGCGAAATTTTCAAGCCTCAGAAAAGGAAAAAAGGATTCTCCAAAGAAGTGTGTGGGGGACAATGTTCAGGCACAATCCTAAGGCATCTTTTCATCATTCTGGATTTTTTAAGAATGCCCTGACTTATTTCACACCCACCATCAGGAATTCTGTGAACTGATGTGATTCTTTTAAATTTGATGATTCGAGTTGAAAATCTCTTTTGTGTAATTCCATTTGTATTATGTCCCTATGGGATTTTTTTTTTTGTTGAGATTTTGAGGTTGAATCTTAATTGGACGGTCAGGTACTTGAAAATCCAAAACGATGGAATATGACGAAGTCCCCAGTCTCTTGGCTGTGAGATTGATAGGAGTGTGGATTTATTGAAAAGTGGGTAGGAAGGAGGTGCAGTGAGTGATCCAATTGTGTTTGGTTTCACATCCCAAAGAGTCACCAGAGGCAAAATACTGCACTATGCCCCTTTTATTATGGTGAGGATCACTTCATATGCAAGACATGGAAATGTGGAGGTGAAGGCAGTTCTGCAGTGAAACATATTGAGGATCAGTGTATGCTGCACACCTGATTTCCTCTACTGTGAAGTACACCTGCATGAACTGGATTGGATTGACCTAAGCTCTCCACAGCCAGGATGAACACGGCTCATCATTATGTTACAAAGAAACCCAGATATCTGTTAGTGTAAGCATGCATCTTCTGTGAAGACATGCAAGAATAGACTTACAGCAGCATTTGAATTCGGTTAACCCTTCCATGCCCTTTGGTACTAATAGGAACCACTAAGTTTCAATAATTTTTTAGCCTCGCATGACATTTTTTTGGACAGCTATGGCAGCTTTACCACATCAATGCAATTTACTTTATGACGTGTATACAACGTGTATGTTGTGTAACTGCAGGCATTTTAGAGAAGACCAAAGAGAGATTTGAAGAGTGAGTAATTACCAGAAATGTTCATCCTTAGCTATTTCATCTAGGTTTTTGCTAATTTGATTATGAAAAGTGCCAAAGGAATGTAATGAAGCTTTTGGTGGAAATTTAAGATTGAATTGCTGGCAAAACTAATTAAGATTAATAATTAAATTTGTATAATTTTCATTATTTTTAAATTTGTCTTAAATTCAACATTTTTTAAAATCACCGTGTAAGTTGCCTATGCCTTGTTGAGTCCGCAAAAAATGTAATGTTTTTCCATGCCTAAGACATCGTTCGGGGCGGCATGAAAGGGTTAACTGTAACACAACTTGCAGATGTTATACTTGACTCAGTTACTTTTGAAAACACATGATTCAGAAACATTTTGCAGAAAAGAAAACGTTAAACCTATGCAGACGCGCATGGCAAAGCTAGAGGGGGTAGCATCCTCCTCACCTCAATTCTGCCACCAAAACCCGACATTAAGATGCCACCTGCCCTCTTGTTTCTCGTATCCCAAATACTCCTGCGTGTGCAGAGGCGTAGCGTCGGAAGTAGGCAGGGAGAACACGTTCCCCCCTCCCCTCCCACTTTTTCCATCCTCGCTACGCTTATGTACATGTGGATATGCTGAAACATTTCGGATATGAGAAGAAACGGTCGTGCCCATTAGTGTCCTTGATCCTTAAATCGGGATCAAATTACAAGTTTTCCAGTACATAAAGGAGTTATTTTTTACAATGCTTCTCCTTGATTTATTATAGCTTTGAGTTGCATACGACCATCGCAGAATTTCATGCTTTGGGACTTGGTCATAAAACAGCATCTGAACTTAATAAGCTGAACACTTATATCGAAATAGAATTAAAGACGTCTGTTCAGACATACGATTCGACGGAAAGTCTAATTTCTATTTTTTTTCC